TTTTTTTTTTTTTTTTTTTTTTTTTGCAAAGTTTGGTAGGCAGTTAGTAGCTGCTGCAATTTCCATAGAAAAGTGAATTCTTTGTCTTTCATAAAAGAGTTTTAGGAGCTAACAGAGTAGTTTAATTTATCCATTGTTATTTAAATGAAAGTCCATTGAATTACAGTGCATTTCAAAACAAAGTATAAGATTGTTATTCTACAAAGAATTCCTTTATTAAAAGAAGCACATTTTACTTGGTGTTGAACTAGCTGTCTTTCCATTGACTCTTCAAAACCTATGGGTCTTAATCTAGACCACAAAAGGATCCCTCCTCGTCTTTGGCGTTATCTGAGTCAGGGCTGCCTGGAGGGACCAGTTGGGCACAGTAAATGAGAGCCCGAGGAGATAATACAGAGCAGTGTGATCGTAGCAAACAAAATAGAGCAGTTCTCCCTAAAGAAGGAAGCAGCAATCTGGCTCCACCAAAGGTCTTCATATGAAATCTCTAGCTTTTTAAATGTTGACAGCTCCAAACATTTTCCGACACAATGCCAGTCAAAACTGTGAGACTCCACAAAATATATCTGGAAGTCTGATTTCATTCTCAGGCCACCAGTTTGCAACCTATAGCTAAATCTTCTCTTTGATTTTCTATCAGCTGCTACTAACTTGCTCTGCTGTGAGTCCTTTCCTGGGACAAATATATCAAGAAGTGGTCATACAAAATACTCGCTTTACGAATGTCTTGGGTCATTAAGAGAAAGAAGCTAAAAGAGACAGTCAGCAGGTGTTGCTACAATTCATTAACACTTTCAGGTTAATCAGAGATGGCTAGTTTACAAGCATCATGTTCAGTGTTTTGCCCTCCCCCTTAATAGTTTCCTTCTTTCTTCTGAGTGACTCAGAAAGGACAGAAATTGTCCTGGCCATTTTTGGACCTTTATTCTTATGGTATTGTTAGTATACAAAAATACCATTTATCTTTGTATGTTTATCTTGGACCCAGAAACTTTGCTAGACTGTCTTATTAGTTCTAATGCGTTGCTTATTGTTTCTTTCAGATTTTCTATGTAGTCAATTGTCATCTACCAAAAAAAAAAAAAAAAGTTTCATCTCTTTCCAGTTATGTCTTCATATTTTCATGTCTTATTGTATTGTTAAGATGTCTAGTAAATGGTGCTAATGGGCATCTTTGTCTCACATTGTTATTTGATAGCCAAAAAGAAATGGAAAACATCCTAGATGTCTAGCTTCGTATGTACTGTATTATATGTCTAACTCAAGTGTCCCCAGTTTTCAAGACTTACAGGATTGAGCTTCCCATAATATCCAGTATTTTCTGTTTCAATGTCCTGCCCCACCCTACAGGACAATAGAAAGTCCAGCACTCTCCGCAGCATTTCTGATGACCTTCAGCATGTTCTGGCTTTTGTTTTCCACCTTCCACACTTGACCACTGACCCAGACCTCCTCAAGTTTACCTATTTCTAAGGCCCAAACATGGGTACAACCCAACACTCCTTTATTCTTCAGTGATCAGCCAATAGACAACTCTGTGGTTTAATAAACTTAAATATAGTTGAGGATAGCATAGCCAAATTCTAAGAAAGAAAAACAAATTGGAATTCACGTATCATTGCTCTTAAAATCATTGGCCATGCCTACTGGCAGGGAGCCCCGCGCCCCCGTCCTCCTCAGCGCCCGCCTCTGGCCTGCTGCACCGAGGGACACGCTCCTCTCAACTAGAGTCTCTCTCTCCTCTCTCCCTGTCCCGCACTCCCCACCCCTGCTCCTTGGAGTGTACCCTTGTGTCTGAACATGCTAGAGGGGGCAGAATCAAGCCAGCTAACGTTCCAGTGATTCCTTAGGGCCACGCTCAGCCCACAGGGAAGGCAGACTTTGCCTTAGCGAACATCTTGCTTAATATCTAGGAGCACAGACTCTGGAGTTGAAATGTCCGGGTTCAAATCCCAGCCCCCCCACTCACTCCTTAGGACCCTGGACAAGTTGCTTACCCTCTCTTTGCCTTGTTTTGCTCACTTGCATGATGAGGCTACTAACAGAACAGAACATAGCATTGTAAGGACTAGGATAGTGCATTTAAAACAGTATATTCTGGCATATAGAAAACAGCAGTTCTGTTAGCATTGCGACCGCCATGTGTTAGTAGTAACGCAGCACAAGTTGTAGTAGCAGAATTACTTTACCAATACTCAGGGCTACAGTATGAAAAAAACTCTTGCTGAACTTGCATTTCTATGGCTAGATGGGCTCATCATCGTAGCTCTTCTGGGAAGAGAGAGTCTGCCCCCAAAATAAATTCTAGCCTACAGCATTAAGGCCGCAAAGAGTTCAGAAATATTCTCAAAGCATCCTGCAAAATAAGTATGTACCATCACGAAAAGAAAAAAAATATTTAAATGGATGAACCAACTATCAATAGCAGTTATTTCTAATTAGTGGGATTATGGATGATTTTTATTCTATCTGCATGCTTTTGTGTGTTTTGCCCACACCATTTATTGCTTTCAGAATATGAAAAAAATAAGGACATTATAAAATATGAAAAGCCTACTTCTGCATCTACACCAGATAAGACAGTTTATTAGAATTTATTCAATTACCAAAATTCTACAGTGAAATGTCGTCTAGGCCTGAATAAAGAAAGAATTCATCTGGGCATTCAGCTCTGGCAGAGCCTCGCCACACAGCCCTGCCGCCCTGTGGCCATGCTGCTGCTGGGGAGAGCCTGCGAGCTTTTCGGCTTAGCCCCTTAACGCAGATAATTCGAGTTCTGTTCCCACGGGGCAGACGCAGATCTTAACATGAACTTGTAGCTGACATCAGATTCTCATCTCCGTCTGCAGTTTACGTGTGCAGCATTCATCCTTGCCTTAAAAGTGGGTTGCAAAAAATACGTCCGTAAAACTTACATCAGTTGTCTAAAATCATAGTGCTACCACTTCCCAAGTTTATTCTGACCTCGTATTTACATAGCAGAATGTGCTTTAAGGTGGGAAGAGGGATCTGGTTAGAGGGTATGGCACGTGTCTTCTAGCCTCCGAAATACAACAATTACGATGAATCAGGCTCCTGAATCAGATGTGCTCTCCTTGAGAGAACTGCCTTTGGGTCTTTTTCCATCCTACTACTCCTTGGGAAAAATGACCAAGCTTTCCGTCCTGGATTTTGTCATGGAATAGAATACTAGGAACATTCTCTAAAGATCAACATAAGGTAAGCAGATAATAGGCTCCCAGAAAACATGGTAATTTGACGTGGATGAGCATGTCCCAAAGTGTGTTCCTTAGATATGCTATATGCTCATCAACAAAGGGATTCTATGGTCAGATATGTGTGGAAAACACTGCATATCTTTTTTCATGGCAATATAGAATGCATATTACAGGCCTGAGCCATTTTTTAGTAGTTTCTTTAAATTTATTAAATCCACATTTTCCTAAATATATTTTATCAAGAAATTCTATTGCAGACTCTTCTCAACATCCTCTGTTACTTGGGTTCCACGGAACACACTCTGAGAAACATTGAACAATTAATACATTTGGGAAATCACACAAGTACCTTCATAATATGCAGACATGTTTTTTTAAATTCTTAAACCATTTTTTTCATTCTTGATGCTGAATCACAATACAAACAACTAGAATTCTTACATCTAGAGCTATGAAAGTAGGAAGTGGAGGCGCATGTGAGGTAAAGACCAGGGCAGCTGTGGGAATGGCTGGAATTCATTAGCACTCTTTATTCAAGAGCCAAATTCTAAGAATTTTCCAATGCAAAGTAGTGCTTTCATTAGGAACACCCCCACCCAAGAATTTGGTTGAAGTACTCATTTCTCAGTGCAGAAGTAATAACCCAAATAAAATTTCTGTGGCCAGTCAAGAGAGTGAATATTAAAGGAAAGAGTAATTTGCATGTCTAACATCTTTCTCTCCTACCTTCGCCCAGCACTCAGGAGAGAAAGCTCTAACACTAGTGTCCAAAGATCTCAAGCATTGCACCGCCGGCAAA